TTTTCATGTGGAGGAGAGTGGAGAGATGCAATGAATATCTCAGGCACAGGAATTCTTCAAGTTAAGACAGGATGTGAGGCTTATACATCATATGCAACGATGATTGGCTATCAACAATTTGTAGAAATATCAGCGGAATATATCACTGCTAGAAATCTCAATGTTACTCAGATGGTGCAAAAATACGTTGAATTACTCCCACAATATTATGTACAACTAGATGAGTTTTTATATGAGTGTGAAAAAGATGAGCAATCATCCGTCACAATATTGTTTTTTGCAGCAGCAGCAGTGGGAATGTTTTTTCTTTGGCTTATAGCATTATTGTTGTTGTTGTTCCGAGTAACAAAAGAAGATGAAACTGGTAGCATAGTCGTTGGGTGGATTAAAGAGACACATGTATGAGGCATTTTACTGAATAAAAAAACTTTTTTTTTTCTTAACAAACTATGTTTTTATTTCCCCCATCCATAATTTTTTTACAAATTATTTACAATATTATTATTCTTAAAACCATAAGGCAAAGTATCTGTCGTATTTGGCAGGAGAATGCGCTAATCATCATGCCAACTCGGAGCTAGTTTAGTTTGATTGATCATGAACACATCGTGTTTGATCGACCTAATCATATTCTGTGACATCCACACATTTTTATGTTNTGTCTGGAATACTGAAACGTATGGATATTGGCTTATTAAATTTAATTCTTGTACGACTCATTTGAATTATTACCAAATCCTTATCAAAGATAATACTGCTATGAAGGTCGGGCTTCGATATCCAACTCTCAGCACCCCATCGTTCCTCCCAATTTGAAACTAGTTTTACATCCAGATGTTTTCTAACGTTCTCCATTGTTTTTCCAAAAACAGCATTATTCACTAATTTATAAAAAAAAATTACAAAGTTATTCTGGGAATTTTTCTGGTAATTGGTATTTAAATCAATATTTTTTTTTAACCATAAGCTCTGAGAGAACCTCAAGATTCTATGAATTCTAGTAATTTCCAAACCCAAACTACAATATTGTTTTAAATTCGTAGAATGAATGACGTAATTTTTTTTTGAGTTTAACGTCGTCAATAATTTTGGTAACTTTGATTGACTGGTTGGGGGGATTATATGCTCTGGGCACAATGGTAAATCTTTATGCTCTTCATGCAATTCCTGTGGGTACTCCAGGTCAACCTCCAGGAT